CTCATACTCGGCTTGGATTGTATTATGTAGCATTTCAATAAATCTCGTAAGATCCCCAGCTCAGAATGTTACACTCCTCTATCTTCATTATACATACCTTGCAAAATGCAATCTTTTCTTTGTTTGAAAGGGTGTGGTAGGCAGTTAGTCACAAGCGGGCAGCCCTAAGAGAAAAGCAAAATGCTCATCTAGCTCTGGGCACCAGGAGGGCGAGGCAATTAGCCATCTTCCTTCCTTGGGGGCCTGAGGGGGGGAAAAGAAAAAAAAAAACCTAAGCAAGTGTTTTGGTCAATGCCCTACTTCCCATTAGGGCGAAAGACTAATTGGGCAGTCTAATTGGGGCAACCTGGCTCGCATGGGGTGTACGAAATTAGGTGATCAAGTTCCTCATTCTTTACCTGTGAGGAAGGTGGAAAAGACCATGTGGATTCAAATTTAAAGGAAGGACATAGGCAGCGTAACGGGCCTCCCACTAATGAATATTCATGACCTCTAGTAATACAAATAACGGTTAACTAGTACCAAGTGCGGTTGCCACCTGGCAATCTGCCCGCCCAAGAGCCTTTTTGGGTGTACTTCCTTCCTTTCCTTTCGTTTCTTTCCTATTAAATCTTCTTTTCTACCTACTTCACTCATGGTCGTGGCTTCATTTTGCACCTAGGAACAGATCTCTAATTTTAGTGATCTGGACCCAAAGAACCAAGGACTTCACAACGCAGCTCGACACTCTCCCATCCGTTACCAAGGGGAATATTGAGCTCTAGTAAGGTAAGAAGAAAACTACCCCAAAGGGAAAGGAAGTGATTTTTCTCCCCAGTTCTCCCCTAAACACTTCCTGAGTCGCAAACTGAAACTGGAGCTGAACATGATTAAGTTTCATAGACATTTAGGTTCTCCCGGTGACAGCCAGAGTCCCTCCCCCCAGGACCCCCTCAGGCCCACAGAGCAAAGAGCAGTCTGACTCATTTCAGTGCATCCAAGTAAGTTACTGGAAATGGCCTGTTCTTGTGTCATCAGTCCTGAGGACTGAAGGGGTCTGAGCAGAAACTCCTGGGACTGAGGGGGTCCCTTGCCTGCAGATATAGGAAAAAACCTCAGGGAAGGATGGAGTAGGGTCCCTTATGACAATCCAGTTGGGCGGTCAGGAGGTGGTGTCCACTCCCAGAACCTTTAGACTGCACCAGAGAGTGGCCCAGGGCTTTAACAGTTGTTCCAAGAGCTTTCACCTCCCCCATGCGACCCTCAGGACCCAGAAATGAAACCAAGTCATGTCCGAAAGTGAAAGAAAAGAGAGAGAGTCTGCACTGCTTAACTTTCTGATGTGAAGAAGGGGAATAGCAATGGATTCCCAGCCAGTACACCAAAACCTGATGCAGAAACACAGAGACACAGGGGAAATCAGACCCAGCACCCACAGTGGGACATGGAGTCTTGTCTCACAGGGAAAATTAGAGACATGCACACAGGGGCACAGTAAGGTGGAGAGTTCATTGAAAGGGAAAAGGAAGAACACAGTTCCCAAGAAGAAGGAAGGGGCCACCCGAGATGGGTCACCCACAAAATGTTCACCTTGTATCCAATCAGTGACCCACCTTCTCCAGGCGTGGGTCGGATGAGGACAAGCCACAAACCAGCATAGTTGAGGATCATTATGAATTCACGCTCACTCACCTCAAGAGGACCTTCAACTCGGCATATAATTCTACCGTGCTTCTCAGACCAACGCACTTGACTTGCCTCAAAGGATATTTCATACCTCCTTGCTCTCCCCAAGCTCCTCAACTCCCTGCTCGTCCCCACTCTCTGCGGAGGAACTCGCCTCCTTCAGAGGGATGACAGAGGTGCTCAGAACTCTGTGTGCTTCCTTTACCCAAAGCATAAGAAGCTACCTTCACGTGCACCACCCCTGAACCCTAGTCGAGACAGGACAGAAGGAGGTGCCTGGACTGGGCAGCCTCAGCATCACTTGGGTTTTTGAAATGCAAATTCTCAGGTCTCATCCTACACCTTTTGAATCAGAGCTTCTGGGAGTGGAGCCAGCAGTCTCTGTTTAATCTAGATGATTCTGGAATAAATGAAAACTTAAGAATCTCTAAAGCCAGCCACCAACTTAAACTTGGGGCTCCTTCCCCTCTTATCTTTTCAGGAATTTGTCACTGTCTGTTAGCCCTGCTCTGTTTCATAGAGCCACCCCTCCCTCTCTGTTCTCAGTGGTATTAAACACGTTTAATCTTGTTCAAATCATCAGCTGGCCGTGAAGACCTCACTTCATTGGCATCTTCTCAAAACACTCTGTGCCCTCGATTTCCAAAACGTTATACTCTTTTGGCTTTTCTTTCACCTCTTGATTAGGGATTTTTTCATCTCATTCTGGCTCTTCTTCTCTGCCATAAAATATTGGGAGTTTCCCTTTTCCTCTTATACCTAGAGATTTCCCTCAATGAAGTTTTCAATGTGCATTGTATTAAATGTCATCCATGCATAAATTGACATGGACAGTCTGGGCCGTCCCAGGCCACCTCGTTCTCTGAGTACCCCCAAGACATTTCAGATTTCACACGTTCCAAGTTCAACCCATGATCCTCCCCCACCGCATCATGGTATTCTTTCATTCCATTTAAAAAGGCACTGTCTTTCTCTTCACTCTACCTGAATCGCTCGGTCTTCCTCCTCCAATAATTAATTCCTACTCTTCCTCCAAATATCAATTCAAACATCTCATCTTTAAAGACAGCTTCTAGAACCAGCCTGCTATTCATAACATTGCAATTTTATATTTATTCATATATTCATGTGGTTAAGGCCCTTTGCTCCCAGTATAATCTAAACTACATAAAAGCAAAAACCACACCTAATGCACTAAGCATGGTATCCCCAGGCTTCAGCACAGTTCTGGCTACGTAGTAGGTATTCAATAAGCACATTGAACTGTGGTTCTTGTTATAATGTAATGTGTGACAGGTTTTTTGTTTGTCTGTTTTTTACATTGAGTCAGAATTAATCACCATAAATGTTTTGTGTATACCAAGCTTATTCCAAAGACTTAGGTAAGAGCTATCTGCTCAGTGCTAAAAACCGAAAATTACTGGGAAGCAGACTGATTTCTACCTGTTGTTGCAGATGTAACTGAATGAACGACCACCAAAGTCAGACTAGGGCGAAAGGGAGTCTTCATTAGCTGGCCAGTGACTACAGCCTGAGGCTGGGGGGCCGACAGTCAGAACTGCAGCCCCGACCGAAGTCTGAGTAGTTTTTTTTATAGGGAGTCAGTTACCAGGGGGTTTTATGTGAGTAGTTATAGAAGTTGAATCAAGCAGGCTAATTACGTTTGAGGGCACTTTTTAGACCTTTGTTTAATGGTCTGTATGGCGCTGGGAAGGGTTTCGGTGATGGATAGTTATGTCGCAAAGGAACAGTTAAACAAGGTTTTGGGCTAGTTAGTAAAGATGGCAACAGGTCCCGGGCGTCGTCCCGGATGTGTTTTTCTCTATGGCTACTCCAAGTTATATTTTTATGGGAAGAGTAAGCAGGTTTACTGACGTAGACAGTCATGTAAGGGTAAGGAAACAAAATGGATGAACATATTTTTATATATAACTCAAATACAATGTCAAGAAAATTAGAATTATTTAATTTGACAATGTTTTTTATTTTTACCTAATATATAAAGAATAAGTCTGATCAGTTTAACTTTTTTTTTTGGGGGGGGGCTGTTTTAGGGGCCCTGTGTAAACATCTAAGAGTTATTTTGAGGTCAAACTAAAGACAGGAAAAATTAGTCATGAATTTGTTTTTTTGGTAGATATTTATTATGTCAAATGTAACACACAACACATAAATATTAGTTGTTTTATTAAACCAACCATATTAAGATAAACATGATGTTTGATTAATAAAATCTTAGACAAAATATATATGTTGGACATTGTGAAGACTTTTACTTATTAATCTTTTTTATTATATTTGAAACTAGATTGTTTATTAAAGTTATATGAACTTGAAAAGTATTTAAGTGTTCTTTTTATAAACTAAATTGAATAGAATTTTTAAGGCCTTTTTTACACAGACATATAACATATAGTACATAACATGACATATTATATGTATGGATGCATGCACACATCAGAACTATAAGAGCCAATTTTGGGGGGGGTTATTTTAACACTAGTAAGGCAATTTTCAGAGATACACCATAACCCTCAGCCTGGAGTTAAAAGTCCTGAAAGTGATCTAGAAAACAGTTAGGGAGAGCACATTTAGACGAACAGACTGACGACTGTCCCTGACCCATCTTGACAAAAACCAGACTGACAAAGACGAGACAAATCAAGACAGTGCACCCAAAGACAAGCAGGGTGATGACTGGTCCTGTCCCATTTTGACAAAAACGAGGATGACAAGGACAAGACAAAGCAAGACTGCACCCAGAGACCAGTGTCACCAAGGACCCGAAGTGCAATCACACTCGGGCCCAGGGACCTGGAGGTTCCACTGCGTCCAGCCCTCCTAAAGTCCCACCAGGAGAGCTCTCAAACCAAAATAGAACCTTATCAGATTTAGGTGCCACAAGTGACTCCAATTTCTTTTTTTTTTTTTTTTTGAGAGAGATTTTTGCTATAGGGCGCATGCGCTCGCCAGAGAGACAGAGAGAGACAGAGAGACAGAAAGCAAGAAATCATCCCTCAGGGGGGATGGCCACACTGCAATCCCTTCTCCTCCGTTCTCCTCTCGGGATCTTGGGCACACACGCACATGCGCCCAGCATGAGTTTAAGCCCCCGGGTCCGGGACGCAAACCGCGGTCGACTACGTGGGAGTCCAGCGCCATAGCCATTACGCTAACTGCTGGTCCCAAGTGACTCCAATTTCTGATCCATGTTTGTGAGACTTCGTTATCCCTCTTAAGACCCAGGACAGGGTGTAAGCAATGTCCTCTTTGGGCATTATTCAGCCACTCTAAGGTTCCCAGATCTCACTGGGGCCTCCAAATGTTGTAGAGTGTAACCGACTGAACCACCACCAGAGTCAGATTACCTGGGCAGCCACTACAGCCTGAGGCTCGGGGACCGAGAGCTGGAACTGACCGAAGTTTGAGCAGTCTTATTGTAGGGGAGTCAGTCACTAGGGGGTTTCTCTGTAAGAAATTACAGAATCTGAATCAAGCAGGTTCATTATTTCTTTTCTTTTCTTTTTTTTTTTTTTTGAGAGAGATTTTTGCTATAGGGCGCATGCGCTCGCCAGAGAGACAGAGAGAGACAGAGAGACAGAAAGTGAAAAATCAACCCCCCCAGGGAGGATGGTCATGCCGCAATCCTTTCTCCTCCACTCTTCTCTCAGGATCTTGGGCACGCACACACACGTGCCCGGCGTGAGTTTTAAGCCACCTGGTCTGGGACGCAAACCGCGGTCGACTACATGAGAGTCCAGCGACATAGCCATTATGCTAACTGCTGGTCCCCAGGTTCATTATTTCTGAGAGAACTCTCTAGACTTGTTTAATGGTCTCCATGACTCCCGGCAAGGGTCTGGTGATTGCTAGTCACATTGCTAAGGAACAGCTAAACCGAAGGGTTTCAGGCTAGTTAGTAAAGACAGTAGCAGGTACAGGATGTCGCCCCGCATGCAGTTTTCTGTGTGGCTAGCACAGGCTATTTTCCATGGGAAGCAGGTTCACAGAAGCAGACAGTCATGTAAGGGTATGGGTACAAAATGGACGAACACTTGTTCATGTTCTAATATGCAGCCTTCCACAATATGGATCACAGCCCTCGCAAGAAGCAGTGGGTTGGGGAGGTCCCTGATTGAGTACAAGAAAGTGGAAGAGATGGGTCCAGCAGTTAGCATAATGGCTATGTCATTGGACTCCCATGTAGTCAACTGCAGTTCGAGTCCCAGACCCGGTGGCTAAACTCACGCCAGGCGTGTGTGCGTGCATGCCCAACATCCTGAGAGGAGAATGGAGGAGAAGGGGTTGCGGCGTGGCCATTCCCCCGGGGGGTGATTTCTCGCTTTCTGTCTCTCTGTCTCTGTCTGTCTGGCGAGTGCACATGCCCTATAGGAAAACCTCTCAAAAAAGAAAAAGAAAAAAAAGTGGAAGAGCAAAACAAGAAACAAGACACACAGCTGCTCCTCTAATATCCACGCTGACGCCACAGAGACACTGTCCAAAGGGAAAACTCATGTTCGCGTGAAGCCTCCAAGCTGGGTGGCCACTGGCTCTGTACCGCTGCACGGGAGTCTCTCTGAGCTGTCTAGTCAAGGCTGTCCACCTTGGGAAGACATCACTCTTACACATTTCCCCTCTCATCCTGAAAACGCTCTTGTATGTTTTAAATCCCAGAAAGATTCCAAGGCATATGAAAAAACACAGAGTACAGATGAGGACCAACTACTTAAGCTTAGAGGGCAAACCATACTTTGCCAGTTACTTATTTCAGAGTATGAACCACAGTTTGTATATCATTACCATTAAAAGTTGTAATTTTAGGGATCAGCAGTTAGCGTAATGGCTATGTTGCTGGACTCCCACTTAGTTGACCGCGGTTCGCGTCCTGGACCCGGTGGCTTAAAACTCACGCCGGATGCGTGTGCGTGTGTGCCCAAGATCCTGAGAGGAGAATGGAGAATGGAGGAGAAGGTATTGTGGCGTGGCCATCCCCCCTGGGGGGTGATTTCTCGCTTTCTGTCTCTCTGTCCCTCTCTGTCTTTCTGGTGAGCGCACGCGCCCTATAGCAAAAACGTCTCCAAAAATAAATAAATAAATAAATAAATAAATAAAATTTAAAAAGTTGTCACTTTATATCTGTTTCCATGATAAAATAATTAAACTTCATGAATTTAGATAGAAACGAGATGTGAGACAGCCCCACCGACTTAAAGAAAGGTTTGTTTAATCTGCATAGAGAAGAAGTCAGACATCTTTCTAACACTGTCAGGTAACCAGTATGTCACAGCTTTCCCCCATGAGGGGAAACAAAACTTAACGATCACTGGCTCTGTCTGCAAACAGCCAAACTCTCATCAGCAGATGGGTGGCTGTCAGTTAGCCATTTGTTAGCGGCGTGGCTTTCTTGGCAGCTCTCACAGAACCTCAACAAAATGCAGGAGGGAAAGCATGAACGGAGACGAAGGAGCGAGTTCTCCTGAATCTCACACTTCATGACATCTCATGTTCTTGAAAGAAAAATAATTGTGTGGGAAAATAATAACACGAGAAAAACGAGAATGCTGTTCAACATACATTGAGACCCTTGTTCTCACAGCATTCTCGTTGCTGTGTTTCTCGAAAGAGGTGCAATTCCGACTTCACATCTGCTAACGTCAGAACTCCCCAAGGAAGAGGCTACGGCCCTCGGCAACTCTCTCCGTCATTAAACGCGAAACATTAACTAGTGCCCGTGCTCAAGGGCATTCACTCTCTCTCTCTCTCTGTCTCTCTCTGATGAGCGCCTGTGCCCTGTAGCAAATTCAATAACAATAACAAGAATAAATTAAAGTAAATAAATAATTCCTTTTGTAAAAAGACATGATGTTTACCTTGGCTGGGATGCATTCGTGTAGTTGAGAACATTTTAGAGCATCTGTTACGTCGAGCTCAGGTCAAGGCCCTGGAGAACATGCACTGAACGGAAGTAACACCATCTCAGCTCATGAGCAGTTTATACCGAGGCTGGACGGGGAACTAGGAGTCACAAGGCCACTTCAGAGAGTAGAATATGGTGCCGGAAAAATACAACAGTGTGCGATGATAAAGGAGAGGCTGCTTCTTTACATCGGGTGGTCTGGAAAGGTCTCTCTAGAAAGGTAATCGTAAGCTAAGGCATGAAAGACAAGAAAAAGCTAACTCTGATCTTCATCAGATCACCAAGCTGTAAGCTAGTTTAGTGAGCAGTTAGGAGAGATTTTTTGTTTTTGTTTTGTTTTGTTTTTGTTTTTTCTTTTTAATATCTTCAGAAAGCGAGAAATCATCCCCCAGGGAAGATGGCCATGCCACAATCCCTTCTCCTCCATTCTCCTCTCAGGGTCTTGGGCACGCATGCACACACACCTGGCATGAGTTTAAGCTGCCGGGTCTGGGACTCAAACTACAGTCAACTACATGGGAGTCCAGCCACGTAACCATTACGCCACCTTCTGGCCCTACTCATTGTACAGTTTTCTATCAAGCATGGTGAGACGTACTTCTCTACAATTACTACAAAGAAACAAAGAGGCTTTTTTTAAAAATCATTTATTTATTTTGATTTTATTTATTATTATTATTACTTTTAATTTACTGTAGGGCATGTGTGCTCACCAGAGAGAGAAAGAAAGTGAGAAAGCAAGCCGTCAGGCCCAGGACTCGAACCACAGTCAGCCATGTGGGCGTCCAGCACCTTACTCACCACAAAGACTAAGGAATCAGGTGTTGCTTGGAAATAGGACTGGGTACGAGAGCTTCCAGAGAAGACTTGGGTTTCCAGAAACCACATGAAGGCATACAGGTGACATTCAGAGCCATATCTCTCAACTCTTTTTAAAAATCGTGCATTAAAAATAGCCAAGCCCCGGGACCAGCAGTTAGCGTAATGGCTATGTCGCTGGACTCCCACGTTGTTGACTGCTGTTCGAGTCCCGGATCTGGTGGCTTAAACTCACACCGGGCGCGTGTGCGTGCGTGCCCAAGATCCCAAGAGGAGAATGGAGAAGGGATTGCAGCATGCCCGTGATTTCTTGCTTTCTGTCTCTCTGTCTGGTTGACTGGCGAGCGCACGCACCCTATAGCAAAAACCTCTTCAAAAAAAAAGAAAAAAAAAAATAGCCAAGCCCCACCGTGGGGCGGTTCAGACCCTTGCTGAGCCATTGCAGTTTCAGGTGGGAGCGGCTGCAGGCCCAGCCCTAGGCACACACTGCAAAGACTTGGCAGTTGTTGTCAGGTTTTCCATTTCTGAGGTAACAAAGAACAGCGCTGAACTGCTGTCACTCTGGTCAACACGGTCAGTTTACCAAGGACCCTGCCAGGCAGGTCCTTGTCCGATGTTCTTCCATGAAATCCACCCCAGCCCAAACGACACCGGCCACCTGTTCCTGACCCTCCTCACCTCACCGCTTGCTTCTCCCATGGCTTCTTTGTCATTCACTGGAGAAAACTCCACTGTACAGGCCAGCAGTTTCCCAGTCATTCAGAACAGCCCTTCCCTGATTCCCACCTGCCTGCGGGGGTCAGTCCGACCGTTCATCCTCACTGTGGAAGGGTCTGACGGTGCTCGTGTCCAGCTCGCCTCTGCTCCTACGTGGGGGAGCGGGAAGGTCATGGTGCAATCGTGAGTCCTGGGTTGGCTTTGGTCTTAGCCAGAGTGAAGAGAAGACATTTCCAGCCGGTCCTTGTCCCTCTCTGTTCCTCTGTCACTCCTCGTTCTTCTCCCAGAGGCATCCCTGAGCTCTGTTCTGGGGAACCCACACTTGGAATTGTCGCCTAAGGTTTTTCTGTTCCCCTCTCTGCACGGTACCTACCGTCCTCTTTCCGTTCCCTCAACTCCTCACAACGTATATCACTCTGAAAATGTAGGCCCAGAACTGCGCTCTTCGACATGCGGTACCCACACAGAACCAGCCTAACATGGAAACCTATAAAAATATGAATTCTGGGCCAGCAAGTGGCATGGTGATTAAGGCGCTGGATCCCACATGGCCAACTGCATAGTTCAAGTCCCGGACCTGGTGGCTTGAAAAACATGTCAGGTGTGTGCAGGTGACTTAAACTCACACTGAGTGCATGTGCGTGCATTTCCAAGATCCTGAGAGAAGAATGGAGGAGAAGGGATTGCGGTGTGGTCATCCCTCCTGGAGGTGATTTCTTGCTTTCTGTCTCTCTCTTTTTTTGGTGAGCACATGCACCCCATAGCAAAAAAAAAAAAAAAACACTAAAAGAAAAACAAAATAAAACCAAAAATAATGTCAATTTTCTGCCTAGGTGAATAATTTCATTCACCACGAGGAACAGCACTGCGGAGTAAACAGGGTAATGGTGGTATCACTTCCAAGCATCAGTATCTGCCTTGCAAAAAAAGTCTTTACCATCTCTCTCTAAAAGCGTAACTGAAAACTGCAGGAACCGCTGTGTGGGGAGAGGGTGTCCCCATTACATGCCTCAAGCCCTAGTAAGGAGTGTCCCCTCACCTGACTGTGTAGTCTCTGTACTCAGGCCCACAGGCGCCCCCTTGCAGGGACTCGCTCAGCAGAACATGTTTCTGCGTATGCCTAAAGGTCACCGAGTTTGCTCGGATGGCCACTCTCCACAGCCACCGGCTCCCACTGTCCTGGACCTGCCCTGAGACAAGAGGGCTAGGTTCAGCCCGAGACCCCGGATGTGTGTTCAGAAGCCACCAGAGCCTCTCTTAAAGGGGAAGACAGGAGATCCGAATGCTGTGGCTCTCGAACACCGTCCCACTGTTGAGCAAAGAGAGGAAAAGATCTAGAACATCCCCCCACGGGATTCCGAGGGCCCCCTCTAATCACACGTCATTTATTGAAAGTGAAAGGCGGTCTGACACGGGCAAGCCGGGAGAACCGGGCCATTCATTTCACCTTGCCTGTCACAGACATGTTTCTGTGGGCTCAGCAGGGTCAGAGAGCTTACGTGTTATCTGGAATTAGACACACGTGTAATTCTCCTCTTGCTTTAATCCTCTTTTTCCTTAGTGATTAATTAAGAGACATTCCTTTACTTAAAAAAAAAATTGAGATGAGATTGTAACATCCCTTACAATCATTCATGGAACCTCCCGTTGACAGAATTCAGCTTGCTTGGAAAAGCACATGCCAGGATTTCAAGCTGAAGAACTTTTACTAAATATGACATCCCCTCCTCCAAAGTCTTCCCCGCATAGTACCATCCTCCAGGTTTTCATTTTCCCTGGGGACCCAGCCTTCTTCGTAAAACCTTTCAGAGGGTTGTGTCTCTGGCTGGCAGTGTCTGAAAGCCAGGCAAAGAGCCTTTCGGGGCTCACGCTGAGTTAAGAAAACAGTTTCTGCATGACGTGTAGAGCCAAATGAGGGACCAAAGTCTTCACTCCTTTACTCAGGACTAGGTTTATGTCTCCACAGGCCATGTGAAATGGAGTGTGGAGAAATGATCTCAGGAAATAAATTAATTTAGACAGGACGCCTGGTTTGTTCCTACCCCACAGAGAGTGTATGTGTGCGTGCATGCGTGTACGTGCGTGAGTGTGTTTGCATGTGTGTTAAATGGTAAGTGAGGGAAACAGTGATGCTGAGGAGACTCAGAACTGTTTCTGCACCAGCACGAGAACTGGATTTCTCTGGCCACCACCACAAAAGTCACGTCCTTAGGCAAGACTCTCTTAGCCTGTTTCCTCCTCTGTTAGATGATCTCGTAAGACCAGTTCAGCTGCCTCCCAGAGTCCTAAAAAGTAGAAGAATAAGGAAAGAGAGCTCTCGGAATTGATAGGCCAAAGTTCAATCTACTGCCATGAATGTCCCCTCCAGGATTTGCACCCAGTTCCACAGAGACGATGATCGTTTTTGTTGGGTACACGCTGACTCCCACGCTTGACTCTGCCATCTCTCCAACCAGGTTCTTGGAGCCACACGCTTCCTAACTCTAGATGAACTCTCTCCGCCAGGGTCCCAGCCATAGGACCTCCAGAACAAGATACAGAGTAGGAAATTGAATCTGATCTTCCACATGGAGGGCCAGGGCGTTCATCATGGCGAGCACACCGGGGGTTTTTCATCTGAGTTTGACTGGCCGGGTTCATAAAATCGCTTTCATTTTTCATCAAGAGATTCCAAGTTTTCTATATTTATTATCCCTCTCATTATTTCACAGCCAGCTGCATATTTTACTTGTAGCAGTGCCTAACTTGGAATAATTTTGGAAACCGCAATGCTTATGAGGCATGGCTTACTGGGGCACCAGCAAGCCACGCTGGCCCCTTATTAACAGACTGGGTTAAATATTGCCGACATTTGCACCCTGGTGTGCCCTGCCATTTCAGCTTTTTTCCCTAACAACCACTACAGAACATGGAGATCGTTCACCCTGCCTACCTCACTCCCCGGCCTCCACCTTGTCACGGTTTCAAGGACTTGGTATAAACATAATTTATGTAACTCCCTGTGTTCATACTGAAAGGCATTGACCATTGAGTGGCAGCAGCAATAACAGTTATTTTTATGGCCAATGTGCTTCAGTGAAATACGGCCCAGGGCAGCCTCTGCCTCCTCCCAGCCACAGCCGACCCTTAAGAAATTAGTGTCCATGGGTGGTTGTCAATATAGATCAACCTAAGAGGAAAAATATGTTCACCGAGCAGTTCTTTGGCCTGTGACTGTAACGCACAAGGAACACGATGATTACAGATGGATTTTTGCCTCTTTAAATGTTTCCGTTCCTCTCCTTCACTGCCTCCTCTGTGAGTTCATTTGACTCATGTTTGACTTCTCTGACCATAAACGAGTGAGTTTAAGTCACCCCATTTATTTAATAAAGCACAATTTGAGTCTTTACCTTCAGAAATAAAATGTTTATGAAGTTCATTCTGCATGGTTTTTATCAACGTAATGAGATTGATTGGCTTCAGCTTCTCTCTACTAGGGAAGATGTGGGTCTTCCATTTGAGTTCTCGTTGTGGGAGCAGGATGAGAATACGTGGGTGAAGTGGGGGGCAGAAGGAGAGAGAGGCTCTTGGACCGTCGATGAGGAGAGGGAGGAGGAAGCGGAGGACAGGAAAAAGGTAAGATGCACGCTTTCCCTTTGAAATTCAGGAGGGCAGTAGCTCTGTGCTGAGGAGTCTCTAGTGTCATGACTGACCCCAGCCCGGCTCCTGTTCCTCACGGAAACACTGACCCATCGGCAGTCGGTCTCTTTCCTCCAGGTCACCTCGGAAATCCATGACAACACACCGTTTAAACTCCTGAGGAAAAGACAGTGCTGCAGAGCTCTTCATTTAAGCGGGGCCAAAAACCAGGCTGCTGAGCCTGTTCACTCCAGCATCCACCACGACGCCCAGGACGCTGGTTCGCGGCGAATGGGTACTGGGCGTGTGGTGTGCACGCACAAAGGACTGTTCCCCAGCCCTAAAATGTCTAACTGGGAGGGTGGCCAGAGGCACACGACGGCAAGACCTTGTCAAAAGATATCTGTCTCTCACTTCATAAAGAAGAAAAACTTTATTAAATCTAACCCGCTGGACTATATTCAAACTTCTGTTATATTATATGGCATATCGATGAAGAGCCAAACAGGCCTAGGTTCAAACCCTGGCTCTCTTAGAAGCTAGATGACCTTGGGAAAGTACTTGCCTCTGAGGCTTGGCGATCCTTTCTTTAAAATCCCATTTGCTCAGTGCTGTAATTAAATCGGGTGATTACGTAAACCATGACGTCAGAATCTGCAAGCCGCACACCTTTCGACGTGGTAGCGCTGTGCTCGGTAAACACCCGTGCACCCAGAGACTGCGTTTCCAGCTAGCTGTGACCATGCGACGAGGCCCCAGTCAATGGAAAGTTATCAAAATGACACATCCTGGACCATAACCCTTGCACACACAGTGCTCTGTATTCACTTTCCACTTCGCCGGTTCGAGTCACTACTGAGGCGCTTAGCCGACCATGAGGACCGCCGGGAGCCAGAGTTCTTGAATGACCGGAATATCTAGCCCAGACTTTTACCCACATTTCGTAGGCTGCCGGTTATTTATCAGTATCCTATCACGGTAACTTAATCTGTCTTAACACTAGTGCTGGAAGGGACCAGCAGTTGGCATCAAGGCTATGTTGCTGGATTCCCATGTAACTGACTGCAGTTCAAGTCCCAGACCCGTCCGCCTAAACTCATACTGGGCGCATGCGTGCCCAAGATCCCAAGAGGAGAATGGAGGAGAAAGGATTGCAGTGTGGCCATCCCCCCAGGGGTGAGTTCTTGCTTTCTGTCTCTCTGTCTCTCTCTGTCTGGCGAGCGCATGCGCCCTATAGTGAAAACCTCTCCAAAAAAAAAAAAAAAAAAATCAAACGTTAGTGCTGGAACATTGTAAGCCCTCAATAACATATAGCTACTGTTCACAAAATCAAGAAGTAAGAAACATTATTATATATTTTTCCTTCAAAATCATCGTATTATCACAAGGACACTACTGAGTCCCTGTCTTTAACAATTTTGAAATCAATACAGTTACCATTTTACAGAGCTTAGACACATTTTTGTGTGATTTTTGCATAGAACACACGTGCCCACTGGCAAGAGACAGAAGGAAAGAAATCACACACACGCACACACACACACACGCACGCACACACACACCCCA